GCTCTTCGCGAATTGCTTGAGGATCCCAGGGAATCCCAGTGATCGATTTCAGCAACTCTGAATCATATCGATCTTCTTCGGGCTTTCTTCGAATGGACTGCACTGTAAAAACGCCACAGGTGTTTCCTACTATCTTCTCTGTGGTTGTGTCTTTCACTCCTAGAAAAATTCCCTTAGTCCATTGGGCCTCGAACTTGTGACCTCTCTTGAGGTATCCGATGGCCTCACCGAAAGGTGGAATCGCTACTTTCCATTCACGTCCACGAAGTCTTGAGTATGGCGTCTTTCCGTCTTGGAGTTCGGTAGATCGGAAAAACAGGTTGTAGACTGTGGATGCGTGTTCAACTAACCAAGTCAAAATAGGTGAATCGTCAAGAAGTTTCTCACCATAGTTCGACTCGATCGCGGCTCGAAGCGTCCTTGCTTGTCCGTCCAAGGGTTGAACTGCTCGTTCAATTTCTCCCTTGGATTCTTTGACTCCTTTCGGGCTCTTCTCGATGATCAAGGTTCCTTCAAAACCATTCTTTACTGCCTCAACGACGGAAGTGAGAGCAGGTTCGGGATCATGTCGAATTACCAGCTTGGAATACCCTAGTTTCTTGGCGTCGTTCAGGAGTACCTTGGATCCATATGGACCCTTTGTAGGGTAACACGTGGGCAAAAAGATGTTTCGTCCATCGATCTCTGACAACGAGAATTGGTGCATGTCTCTTCTCATCCAAAGCTACATCATCAGTTTGCGAATTCATGAAACAGTAATCTACCGTTACTACTGGTGTGGTTTTGTCTGAATGGTCCACTCTCTTGTGTGGATTTGCTTTGGCCTTTCCCCTAACACAGGCCTGACACCAAGAACGAAAGGGAAAATGTAAAACAGCGTGTTCCTCGAGCTCTTTTCGCGTTGGGCGAGCTGGAGCGTTGATCTTGAGCTCAGATGGAATTTCATCACCTGGCTCGGCTTCAGCGGCTTCAAAATCTGCCGGGGCCTCTTCGTCCATCGCCCTTGTCTGCGAGGGCTCCTGGAGAAAGTAATGGCTTGGAGACTGCCATCGCTCGAAAGCTGCACTGTCCCGTCAGGGCTCCATTGCCGATGCCAATCGTCACCTTGGCATTGATCTTGTCAAGATCCTTCACCGTCTCGCCTGAGGCGGTCTTGTAGACCTTTGAACTCACGCCATCAGGCTGAATAGGCTTGTAGCCCAATGCTGCGGCGAGGTCGACAGGAATACAGGAGGTGGCAGCTCCTGAATCCAAAGTCACCTGATGAGCCATTGGCGTCTCAATGGATGCCAGCTCCAAACTCTTGAGAGCCAATGGGTCTTCATCACCTTCATCAGGCTCACTTGAAGGTGTTTGATACCGCTTTCCCTTTCCTTTCTGGGTCTCGCGAGCGGCATCTTTTGCAACCACGTTGACAGCTCGAGTCAACTGCACCTTCTTCTGCTTGCCTTTCTCCTGGCCCTTCTTGTGGCCTTTCTCGGAGGCAGCCGGAGCCGAAGCGGCTCGGCTCTTGCCCGGGGATCGAGACCGGGATTTCAGTCGAAGCGTCTGCCTTGGTGCTTCGCTGGACTCCTCCTGCTTGGGTCTTGGCCCGCGGAATCGCTCCACGTGCTCTTCAGTCGGGCTTTTGAACTAGGCCATGCGCTCCTCCTTGGTCTTGCCCTTCTTCTCAGGAGGTGGAGGTGTCTTGGCGTCTTTGGACCCACATCATCTTCCTCTTCTTGCTCCTCCATCATCTTCTGCATCTGCGCAGTCATATAGAAAGGAGGTTCTTTCTTGACAGTCTCAAGCTTTGGACCTTTCATCTTCAAATGCTCTGCCACGTCTTCGGGCTTCAGATCCATATCTGCATCTTTCACATGCTTTGGCGCATCTTTTGCGGTTGGGCTACCTCGCTGTCCCTTGGCAGTCTTGATGCGCTTCTGCTTGAGAGACCATTCCTTTGCCCATTGATTGAGGACCTTTGGTGGGCAACAATTCAAAGCCATATGATGGTTCCATAGGCCAGTGTCGTTGTCGCACTTCAATGCCTTGTTGCATGCGCGGCAAACCATGTGCTTGCGGCCATCTTTGTCCTTGTGGGTGCATTTTGCTACCCGTTCATCATAGCTGAGGATACGCTCTTGGGACATATGATCGAGCCATGGCACGGGGTCTCCTTCTGGCTCTTTCTCTTCTTCTTGTCCATCAGATTCATCATCAGCTGGCTCAGTGCCATTCTCGTCATCCTCAACTTCATCTTCAAACTCTTCATCGTCAAATCCCTTGAACTCGGTCACATCAAGAGGATTGATGCTCTCCATGACTGGGGCAGTGAAGGATGGTGCACTTGTTGCTCCTTCACCATGGCTGTCAATGCGCCTCATCACAACATAATCTTCTGGGTTGAACCCAGCGGCAGTGAGTGCCTTGTCGATGACATTGCGGGCTGGATGGCTTGTAGCTGTCCATGTTTGGCTTTCCCGCTTCATCTCTGCCAGCTCTTTGGTGGAGAGATCTTCAATCTTGGGCTCCTTTTCTTTGGGCTTTTCAGCCTTGTCGGCCTTAGCCTTGGATGGCTTTCTACCTCGATGTCGTGGTGCACGCTCGCGTCCTCGAGGTTCAAACTCTTTCTCTTCATCATTATCATCATCATCCCATGCCTGGAGCTTGCCGGCGCCCTTGGCGCGTGCGATCTCATAGTAGTCCAATTCTTCTGGATACTTGGACTCATAGTCTCGCCAGGATTCAAAACGATGATGAGCCGTAGCAATTCGATGCTGCTCGGCGCGCTGGCGGCTCTTCTCCTTCTTCTTGGCCAATCTTGGATCCACGCCTGATGCCAAATCAGCTGAGAGCCTTGGCGACTCCGCCGGCACCGAAGCGGCGCGGTGAGGAGTTGGCTTCTTGAGCAAAATCTTGGCCTCTTTCTCCTTTTCCTCATACTGCTCTTTCAGCTTCCTCATCTCAGCTTGTTGCTCCAAGATGGCTTCATTGGCAGCTTTGCCTTGAGCCTCGGCCGCTTCAATGGCCTTTTGGATCGTCTCAGATCTCTTCTCATACAGTTCACGATTGGACTGCGTGGTCTCTTGGATTGCTTGGTTCATGACTGCAATCCCAGCAGCTGCAATTCCAGGACGACCTTTTCCAGCTCCTGGCTTCTTTGGCGTTGCCTTGACTTCAGTCTGGGCTTTTGCCTTGGCTGCTCCACGAGAAACTGCGGCAGGTGCTGCTTTCTCCATCTCGATGGCAAAGAGGGTGGCGATGTCAGCGGAATACTCAGGCTCGGGTTGGTGCTCTTGAGCCATAGGGTTTTCAGATTCCTCAACTGATGCTACCTTCTTATTCTTACTCTTGCCTTTACCTTTAGAGTCTTTGCCTTTGCCGCCTTTGCCTTTACCCTTGGAGTTTTGGTTGTACCAACTACTCTTGTTCCAATCATTCTTGTGCCAATCATTCCTATATTCCATGAATTGCTCCATGGCGAGGGATTGGACCATAAAGCGGGGTTCGAGTTGGTCCAACTTGAACCTTTCCCTTCTGTTTGCCTTTGTCGTTTCCCTTGCCTCCATCTTGACTCTTTCCTTTTCCTTTGCCGCCTTTTGAGCCACCTTTGCCCTTTCCTTTGGCTTTGGCCAGACTTGCAAGTGAAGACTGCATCTGGCTGGCAGCTGCGGCTAATGCTGCATCAACATCCATGGGTGCTGCTCCAGTCTTTGCTTCTCTTCGGCTCTCGATGTTCTCGAGGTAGGCCAAAATCTCTGACTTCATGATGGCATAGTCAGTGAGTCTTGAACTTTGGAGGTCAAGGTGATCTTGAAGTTTGGCTGGACACATCTGCTGAAGACAACTTCTTGCTATGTCGTCATCAAGAGCTTTCTTCTTTCGCTCTTCGTACTTTCGCCTGATGTTCTCCCAGGCTTCTACGCTCTCTCTGAGCTTGTCCAATGCACACTGTTGTGGGCGCAGGACCTTCTTCAGCAAAGCTGAGTTTGCTTGTGGGTTCTGTGGATCATACTTGGTGATCAGTCGTCGTAATGCCTCTAGGCCAAAGTGCTGACCTCTGGAGGTATTCTTGACAATCTCGAGGGCTTCTCGCTCACACAGTGAGATCAGAGCCTGTCGGGCCTGAGCTGAAACAAGCTCGGCTCCTTCAGGATAATCATCTTCCAGAGATGTCTCATTGATCTCTGTGTCTTGATGCTCTCCGAGGAGCTGAATGCACTTTCCTGCATTCTTGTGACTTGTCTCAATCCAAGTCTTGAACTTGAAGTACCATGAGTCCCAGGTACCTGTGTGTCCACTGAACTTGTCAGGCTTTGGAATGCCTTTCAATTCTGATCTGTCTCTTACTTCTACGCTGGTTGCTATGTTCCTTGTGATTGCTGTTTGCTGAGTGTATGCTTCTGCCATTGCTCGCTGTAGTTGGTTCTGCCCTTCAGCTAGGCCTTGCATCATCTGTGCAAATTGTTGTGCCATGTCTGTGGCTTCTTGTGCCTGTGCTCCTGGCTGTTGCGCCATGTTGACTTGCTAGCCAGGGATTGAAGCAATCCGGCTTTCCTGCAAGTGATGTTTGTATTCACGGATCTCCGGTGCCAGAACCGATGCAGTTCGGCAACCTTCGATTCGCAGACGGTAGCTGGGTCTTAGAACCGTGGCTCCGCTACCATGAACGGAGAATTTAGGCTCACAAACGTAGTGACTTAGGGTCACAGTCCCAAAGGTTGTACTTGAAGCTTAGGCACACTTTTAACTCACGCTTGAAGTAAGCAAAACGGCTGCAGTGAAACATACATCTATACAAAGCTATGGCATGTACATGTAACTGGTGCTACATCTGATCACAAACAAAAACGTTATATGTAAAAATTATACAACGATCCTAAACGTCTTCCAAAATGTCTCCACGTCCATTTTGCGGATTGAACATTGAACTTGATGGAACTTGTAGTGCTAAGACGCTTAATTAAGGCCCCAGTGATATTTACTGCTAATTGCATGACGTCGACTGAGTCCACTGCTGCTGCCGCCAAAGCCGCCGCCAAACAGCCACATCCTCCGGCTGCTGTCCAAGACAGCAGATAGAGAATATCGGCTGGAAGGGCCCCTGCCACTCTCCAGGGGAGCTATCCATGTTGGTGCGCCCGTCGCCTCGTGGCAAGCACGCTAGGCGTGCATTGGCAAGTTATAGAACAATCCTGGATATTACACGTTGAATTTGCGCAGGTCCAGGGCTCAAAGGTCCAGCTGCTGGACAAATTATGGCCCGTCTCTTGGCTGATCAAAGTCACTGCTGTCGCAACGTTGTATCCAAGTTGCATAGTGTGGCGCCCCAGAGGCATTCCAATTTAGCGGGAGACTTTCCATTGTCAGCCTACTGTTCACCAGTGTGGAAATGCTTTCAGAGCGCCGTCGCCTATTCTTTGAGGTTTGTTGGAAGTGCTGGAGGAACCTCAGCGTGAAAGATGCGATTGCGATATGGCATGTGGACACCATGGGGAGCGCGTCTGCAAGCCCTTGTAAAGGCTCTTTTTGATGTGGAAGAAGGCCTAAGCCTAACCTCACCCATACCTCGTCCCTGGAGCTTGTCCAACACTCCCTTTGGGAAAGGGAGTGACCCTCGTGTCTGGTAGATAAAGTGAGCTTCCCAACAACTGCAACGTCCACCCGACGCGGGGTTGTGTCAAAACGGAATTATATAAATGTTCACTACAGACGCAACGCAGCTGAATGTGCGTGGATTCACTTTGCAAAGGTGTGCCCAGAATGCAGTGTTTAGTAGTTGTCAACTCTGCCAATGCGTTATGGCAGCGAGGTGCAATGTTGGCGTTACCTGGGAAAGGAGAATGGCAGATGGGCAAGTTTGCAGTCAGAGGTTCATCACTGCCCATGTTTGAGGTGTCACGACCTCTCGTGACTCGCGCAGGCGTTCGTGTCGCGCCAGTTCTATCGTGTTCCGTTTCAGTCATGGTTCGACGTGCTGTGGGGGGGCAGGGGGGCCAACTATGTCGAGTCGAGACTTGTTGCGTTCGAGGGCCAAGGTGCACTGACCACAGGTTTTGAAGTTGTGTGTCTCTGTGCGTTGTGATTCTTCTTCGGTTGACTCGTCGTGACTCGTCTTTGTTCTTTCCGTCCCCGTTGTTGAACTTTTTTCCGGTGGTCATTTCTTACTTGGACCGTTTGCTGGACTTGGCGACGTTGGTTAAGGATTCATTAGGTCTCGCCGCGCTGGACATTTGTTTAGACTAGACCCTGACCGGTGGGTGTTAGATTTCTAGTGTCTTGAGGAGTGCGAGAAATTTTGCGGTTGTGTTGGCTGTCCGTGTGGGACGAATATATAAAACAATCGTACGTACCACCAAGGGTCACAGCCTCTTTGTTTGTGTTGAGTCGGCGTCTCTTACGCTTTCGCGATTTGTCTGTGACGTCAGCCATGCCGGATGGTCTTGCTGACGCAAACACTGTGCGTTGAACGTGTCGCACGCCGTCTCCCAAGCGAGTGTCCCACAGAACAGAAGAGCCCTGGACGCACGGAGCATCGATATCGCGGCCCTGTCTCTGCGGCGCTGACAAGTGTCTTGGGGGGATTCGCTCGATGGACCGATGAGGTTGCTGGAGTAGGTAGGAAATGTAGGCTTCCTGAGGCGACTCCAAGTCCTCGTACTTTGGGGTTGTCCAACTTCGCTCAAGAAGTGGAAGCCTGGACATCTAGACATGTAGGTCAATAGTTGCCCAAGTACTTCTTGCTATACGTCCGGATTGCTGGAGTTGCCTGACGTGTTGGTGGCTCCAAAAGCTAAGCCACCGGTGGAGTCGAAACGAGATGTGCAGGCTTCGAGGTTGTTTGCACACATCAACGCTGGCACCACCTGCTACACCGATGGCAACCGATCTTGGAAAGTTGTGGCCAAGGAGGTCAAGAAGCGAATTTTGGTCAAATCCGTCAGCCATCGCAAACCAAGAACCTCAAGGAGAAAAAACGGAAAGGCGCTTCTGCCATTGGTGGGGCGCAACAACTAGATCGGTGCTGGCACCATTTGAAGCGCTTCGTCGCTTACAACCTTAAGACAAAACTCAAAAGGAAAGTGAATGCTGCCATCTTGGACAAAACGTTCCAGTTTGTGTGGAAGTACAATGCCTCCACGCAAGATGCCATGAATAGATTGGCGTCGTTGTGAACTCACTGGCGCGGTGAAAACTGATGATGCAACTTTTTGGGGGTTGGAGGGAATGGTGCGCTTGTGAACCCCAATGTAAATGCATATAAATGTTCAAAAAAGAGAGATAAATAGGCAGAAAAATGACCTGAGACTTAAAAGTAAAGCATCTACAAAACACTCAGAATTACCATGAATTGATCCACGATGATATAAGTGCCATTGCCATGCTCATGACTACGCGAGTCATTCGGGGTCGTGTTACCATGTTTGACACAAGTACTATGTGCTTGGAAGCTTCTAGAGCTTGTGGCCAGGATGCGTTGCAGCAACCGAAATCATATGAAAGAGACGTGCTTTTCAACTTTGAAGCGCAAAGCGGGTCTAGTATAGAATCTAGTTCAAGTGTCACCATGCCTCCAGGATGGCTTCACTGGGATGAGGCTGCTGCCAGAAGATCGCTCTGAGCAAAACAAAATCCTTAGGCCCGTGCTCCATGAAGGGATGAACCACACAGGAACAAGGTAGGGATCTCTGTCTTGAGACGCAATTGCCAGGAAAGCGCCACATATCGAACACATATCGAAAGCGCCTGGTCCTTCTGGCGAGAACCGTCAGATTGAGAAGCAAATGAGTGGATGAGTTCCAAGTGTACGAGTTCGAGCGAGGTGACTGCAATAGGATTGTTCAGAATGTAGAGCGTTGCTCAATCTTCTATGGGGTCAGGGTTAGAGAGATTGACACACTACAAAGGCATGGCACTTGACAACGAACAAGAAAATACCACTCATCATCTACGCTAAGTTTCCAGATGGAGAAAAGATTCCTTGGAGGCCGCCATACGTGGAGGCATTCGCCAACAAGATTCCCAAACAAGGAGTTCAAGCATCCACCAACACAGGAACAAACCCGGGCGGTGGCTGAGGAAGTGCCGATGGTGGTGATGGTGTTCCACTGGATGGTAGCATGCCTGGTAGGCCACAGACATCCAACACAGTTGCATGACTGACAGATGTGGACAAAGACAAGTTGTTGTTTTGCTTTTTCGGGTTTCAAGGTGTTATTCTTCGTTCATTCCGTGAGTTTTCTTTTTCATCTGTGAATACTTTGAGCACTTGGTCGCATGGTCGACTTCGGTGAGCTCCGCGCCTACCGCGGACGCCATTTTGTTCGAACACTTCAGCCCGAGGGGCTGACCGACTCGCGTGAAAAGAGCGCGAGGGCTTTCATGTGCTACCCACAGTGGTAGCGGAGCCACGGGTGACATGGCCGGCGCCGCTTCTACCGCTGCGGCTAGCGAAGCTCGCGATGTTCCTCCTGCATTTGACGGGGGTGATCCCCATGCATTCAAGCGCTATGAACGCGACCAGGCCCTGTGGAAATTCGATACCGAGGTGGTCAAGGCCAAGCATGGTGTACGGATGATCCGTCAGCTGACGGGCCCTGCTCGAGCCGCTGCCGACGAGGTGCCCTTGGACAAGCTCTTGTCGGAGCAAGGAGGCGAAGCTGTGTTCAACCTACTTGGAGACTGCTTTACCTCGCGCCTTTGAAAAGGCAGTCTATGCTGAGCCACGGAAAGGAAAGGAGACCCTGCAAGACTACATCATTCGCATGGATGCAGCGTTCAAGGAGCTCAAGGACGAAGGGGTCTCTTTGGAAGAGGTGGTGAAAGGCTATGTGATCTTCAGGCAGGCCAACCTAACTCAGGTCCAGGAAGATCAGCTGACAACATGGACGGCTGGATCAAGGCCTTGTGCAGGTTAGAGAAGGTCCACCATGAGAAAGCCACCAAAGCCTATGTCATCGACTCCGACGAGGGTGGGGTCTACCTGCAGGATGAGCCCTACGGCAACTCCTTTGAGGACGAGGACGAGAATTTTGTTTGGATCAATGATGGAGACTTGGATGAAGTGTTCAATGAAGAGGAACTCCATGAAGCATTAGCCACCTATCAAGAGGTTCGTCAAGCACTTCGAGATCAACGATCCCAGCGGAATCCATGGAAGGGTGGCAAGGGCAAGTCCAAACGGGAGTTCGGAAAGGGCAAGTCTTTCCCAGGTCCATTCCGAGGAAACAACGAAGCTGGAGGTCGACGAGTACATGTGGATCCACATGCTGAAGCTGAGGACTAAGTGTGCCCGATGTGTTCAAATTGGACACTGGGCCAAGGAATGCACCAGTCCGCCTGATGCACATGCTCGTAACAAAGCAGCTGATCGGGATGTCAAAACCGGCTTCTTCGTCGCGGGCGAGAAGTTGTGGTACAACATCCCCCACCAACACTTCTACGAGGTCACCCTGGGAGATTGTTTTCGAAAAGGGAACCCTATGTTCTGCGGCATACAGACCGATGCCCATCAAGGGGTTGTGGACACCGCGGCTCAGTCGGGACTGATTGGGAACTTGCCCTCCAAAGACTTCAACAAAGCCTTCGTCAACGGGGTCTTCAGGGCGTTTGGACTGGGAAGAGTGCTCAAGCCCGAGGGGTCCGTGGAGAAGCTCAGGTGTGCGGGGTGATCGAAATTCCACTGGGTCTCGGGGGTCTGTCCGGCATTCTGGAGTGCACGGTCGTCAAGGAAGACGTTCCACTCTTGTTGCCCATTCGCCTCCTTTGAGAGTTGCAAGCAGTGGTGAACCTAGATGCCAATCAACTAGTGTTGCAACACCAGATCAAGATCCCCATGAACACGCTTCCCTTGGGACACGCCTCGATCGATGTTCTGGACTTCGGAACTTCGGGTTGGAAAATACCCAGTGCCGCATTGGCAGCTGGGCGTTGTGAACGGGACTTCAAAGTCTATGTTGCGTGCCTACCAGTCATGAGAGGACCAAACCCGTCCTTTTGCAAACGAGCCCATCCGTCCCCATTCAGCTGGCTGGCCATGGAGCTGCTGAAGCAACTGCAACGCCAACGAGCGCAGGACGAGATGGGCGCCATGGAGACCACCGAGTACGCTAGGGCCATCCTACATTGGCGTATCATTGGCGCAAAGG